GGCTCCGGGCCGGCCGGGCTCCGCGCCTGTCAAACCCCTCATTGTTCGCAGCTGATGTCACTCGCAGTTGTGAGCGGCCGCCTCTCCCGGGGACAATGTGGGACTGAGCGGCCCAGCCGCCGCGCCGCCGCCGCCGCCGCAGGACAGCCCCAGCGAGGTAGGGCGCGGGCCGGGCGGGGCATGGCGGGCCGTGAAGTTTGGGGGTTCGGCCAGAAGGCGGGGGAACCTGCGCCCAGGTCCACAGCCCGGGGTCCAGCGTTTGGGGGAGTGGGATAATGCAAAGAACATGTTCACTGTCCCACATGGCTGAGGCCTGCGCAAGTGGGGGATACTGGTCTGCCAGGGGTGCCCTCAGTACCAAGGATAGGCTGCCTGGACCTGAGACCCCAGATTCGAGATCCCCATCCCACTCTCTGCACCTTTCTTTTGGGCCTACTCATCTATGGATCTCCTGTTCTGGTTCTCCCTTGACTTTGCCCGCGTTTGCCATCCCCTTGCAGCCCCCTGGCTTTACTCACACCCCTTTCCATTTCCACAGTTTCTGGGGGACTAGGCACCAATCTCTAGGCCAGGGGTGTACAGAGCTGGCATTTGCAGGCTCAGAGTATTCCTCCATCCCCTGTAGCTTTTCACCCCCTCAGCTCTGACCTAGCTCTTTGGCTTGGGTAGAGAGGGTCTGTTACTCAGGCCACCCTGGCCCACTTGCCTCCTCACCCCCCTATCCCAGACCCGCCATCTTGAGACCTGTAGCACCCAATGCCCCACCCGGCCCCCAGCACCCTGGGAAGTATGCTTCAAGGGGATGCATCCAGGGCCAGTTGTATCGCTTCTTCCCAGAATGTGGGTCTCTGAACTCCCACTAAGCCCAAGATGACCACCTTCATTCTGGACTAACAGGACAGATGTCCCCAGGGACTCCCCAAAAAGATTAAATCTTAGCTCTGGCCCTCACTCTTCTCTGGGGTCACCCTCATTGCCCCATGGCCAATGCCTGGGACCCCATCCTTTTCCCATCTGAAGGTCCCTCAACTCCTCCAGGCCCTAGAACCCCCTCATCCTCCAGGGCACCCCCATCCCAGCCCCCACTCCCCAGCCTTCATCAGCATGCAGGCTCAGACTGCCCAAACACAAGGGGATTGTTCTCCTAGCATGCTCAGGGTGGGGGGCTGGGAGCAGGCGGCCCACACACCCTGGCGGGCCCAGGCCACAAGAAGGCCAGCTTGCCGCACCCTGTGTCCGCACACAGCCTCTGACCATGCTCCCTATTCCCATCACTGTCCCCCCACCCCAGCCTCCATCACCATTGCCCAGTGGCACAGACCTAGGGAAAAGGCTCTGAGCTGGACAGGTGGACTCCTGGGTTTTCCCAGCTCTGCTAGCTCCTTCTCGTGTGCCCTTACAAACAAGCCCCTTTCCCTCTGAGCCTCAGTTTCTTCTCTTGATTGGTGATACCCTTCGATCTGTGACAAGCTGAGCCTGGCTTTGTGAGACCTATGCTTTCTCCCAGCTCTTCCAGCTGCCCCCTGCCCCCCATGAGGAGACCTACTCTGGCCTCCCAGAAGTCTCAAACACAGCCTAAATCCCCCACCTCAGCAACATGCCTTGAGAGCCCTTAGACCCAGAGAAACAATGGGAGCAGGAGTCAGGGATGCTGAGAAAGAAACCAGCATTCTGTCTATGCAGGTCCAGGCTCTGCCCATTTGGCTGGTGTCAAGACATGGGTCTCCTCACCCACCTCCTCACTGCTCCTTTGGGACCCCTAGTTCCATCTTTGGTTCCTAATGCCCTGAGGCCCTGTGATCTCTATCTCTTCTCCCTGCTCACTGAGCCTGGTTCTGTCTCAAATTTCCTGCCTTCTGGAGCTCTCAGTGTAGTGAGAAAGACAAGCTCAGAAATGCCCAGTCAAGACTCCTTTGAATTACAGGCATATCTTTGAGGGGGCACAGAGGCCCAAGTGATTATATCTGATTTGGAAGGTTGGGGAGGACTTCACAAAAGGAGGCTAATAGGTTAGAGATGGCATTTAAGAAGGATTTTGAGGCTGAGACTGGGGAGGATGGGCATTTTGAGCTGAGAACGGAGGCACTAGGCATGTTCTATAGCCTGTTATGTGTGGAGGATGGGATACATAAGAGATGAGAAGTTGTCAGGGGCCAGATCATGGAGGTCCTTGAGTGCCCATCTGTGGAGATCGGGCTTTATCCCTTGGGTACCAGGGAGCCATAGATGGTTGTTCAGCAGCAGAATGGCTTAGTCTCTAGCATAGAGAATGGAAGCCAGAGACCTTTTTCAATTTGGGTGAGACAAGGATGGATACTAGTGGGTCGGACCACTCTCCAAAGCTGTGGCCTTTTTCCCAGAGTTTAAGCTAAGCCTGGGCCTGCCTCAGTTTCCCTTGGCTGTGAAAAGAGATGAGACTCTTGGGAGGCTGGCAAATGATACTGTAAGGGGCCTGTAGTATTTCTCGTGCCCATCAGCTTGCCAGAGTTCCTCCTCCTTGCTCAGCATTGAGTTTACGAGACAGACTTGAGTCAAGAAATCAGACACCGGAACTTGTAGACCCCTGGCTGCTCCCTTGTAGTCCTCTCCTCCCTGACTCCCTAATAACTGGGCATGACAGGCTATCCTGGGAGGCTAGAAGGCTGGGAGGCTGGGTGCCGGGTCTGAGGATACTGGGACAGTTCTTGTGGAGGCCTGGCTAGTCAAGAAGGGTAAGCATCCCCAAGATGAGGGGGCTCGCAGGGGAGTCAGGAACCCTCCATGCTGAGCCTCCTAGCCTGATGTCCACCCCCTGCCACACCCTGCCTCGCCTGATGCTCTCTGAGCCATTCTCCAGCATCCCTGGGTGTGGCCAGTATGGCTGCTTTTGGGGTGGGAATAGGAGAAGGATATTGATAGGTTGGGAGCTAGGGCTGCTGAAGAGGATGCTGGGAGATGTGAAGTGGGGGACAAAGCTGGAGACTAGACCCCCTCTCTTCCCAGTCCAGGTGGATCCATAGGCCCTGGCTGGTCCAGACGCTCTGGCCAGCAGAGCCAAGGGAATCCCCCAAGGGGCGGTCCAGTCCACTGGAGTCGCCTGGCCCCAGGATCCCTCCCCTCCCCGGATTGTTCTTGCTCCAGAACAAAGCCAGGGTGGACACTTGATCCCTGTGTGTGTGTGGGGGGGCTGGCTAAGCCCCTGGCCCTTTGATTGGGCAGCTGTCATGGGAGAGAGACAGCTGGGGGGAGGGGCAGGGAGGGGGCAGCCACCATCGCTTACACAGCTGTCACCCCCACCCCCGCCTCCTCTAGCTTGAATGGCAGGAAGCCAGGGATAGGAGGGGTGGGCACTGAGGCTGGGGAGGGGGCCTGGAGAGCAGGCGGGTACACCCCAGGTGAGAGGCTGGTCTGAGCCTGGTATGTCCTGCCAGGCAGTCCTGCTGGCCAGAGGGGGCTGGGCACCCCCAGAGGTGAACTGGAGGTCAGTGTGGCATGATGCGTGGCTGCCACGTGGGTGGCCCAGCAGGGACTTAGGACCCACCAGGCTGAAGCAGCAAATAACTCCTAGAGCCCCAGTGAGGGTAATGGGACATTAATGTCTAATGGGGTTGCTTGTTCTTAGGGCCCTTGAAAGAATAATTTGGGGGACATAGGCCAGGACTCTTCATTCTCTCTGAAAGACAGGAAGGACTTTGAGGGTCTCTCAAAACAGGGAAGACACAACACAAAGGGACCAACAATCCTTCTACTTTTTGACAGAAGAGAAAACTGAGGCCCAGGTCAGGTGAAGGCCTGGTCAAGGTCATCTATTGAGTCTGGGGTAATAGGGGTCTGCTGTGGACCTAGGTGTTATTTCTAGGGCAGGAGCCCAATTCCAGCCATGTCCCAGCCCTCCTGTCCTGTTTTTCATGGAGCCACATGCCCACAAGAAGTGATGCAGAGATGATGTGGGAACAGTGTGATATTTCCCACTGGTACCACCCCAAGGAACCCCTGAGCCCCAGAAAATTTTGACACTTAAGTCCTGTGGCTCTAAATAAATTTGTCATCCTTTCCAAACATGACCCATGTCAACTCATGGCTGACCAGGGGTCTCAGAGACTACTAAAGCCTGGACCCTTTGAGGAGCCCACAATATGGGAAGAAGACCAACAGATTCAGACAGCAGGAGCAGCCTGAGAGGGGAGGCAGCTGGGTCTGTGACAAGAGCTCCACATTCACAAGCAAGACCCCTGGGTTCACCATGTACCACCTTGCTATGTGACCATGATCAGATTGCAGACCCTTTCTAGGCCTAAGTTTCTCCTGTGCAGTGAATTCATCCATTGGGATAACCAGTATGTTCTGAGCACCTTCTCTGGCTGGACTAGGCTGAGCCTTGGACACCCAAGAAGAAGGCAGCAGCCTTGGCTCCTGCACTAAGGAGCTCCCTGGCTTGGCTGGCCAGAGAGACAAACCAAACACGTCATGCTTTGATGGGGGAAGTGCAGGCAGCTGGGGAAATGTCTAGCAAGGGCAGCCAGCATGAGGCTGGCCAGGATGCTCAGAGAGTACAGTCCTTGCACCCTCTACTGACCTCTGATCTCTGGAGAGCCTGTGGGCAGATTTTGAATGGAAGGAGGATCAGGTGCCTGGGGAGACAACAGTCAGTGGTACTGTGGGGAACAAGGTTGCCACCCCCATTGTACAGATGAGGAAATACAGGTCTCATGCCATCCAGTGGCTTGCTTAGGCTTTCTGGCCAAGAGCCAGGCTGAGAACCCCTCTTCCCACTCCATGTCTAGCTTTGGTTGGCAAGGTAGTTTCTGAAGAGGTATTGGATAGAGCTCCATGCCCTTGACCTTTATGTCAGGATAGGTAGGGCTCACTAGGAATGCTTCTGAAGTGCTCAAAGCCCAGCATACTTGGTGTCCATGCCCTTCCCGGACAGAAGGAATTTGTGGGGCTAGATCTTGGCCTCGGCCCAGATTTGGCACCAGCTGGTCCTACTCCTATTCTCAGGTCCTGGTCCCCCAGTGTGCTCTTCATCAGGGCTGAGCCTTGGCAGGCGGGAGACAGCCGCTGGAGGAGGGATTTCCAAGCAGGATTAAGGTTCAGGATTAAGTCTGGGCGGGAAAAGGGGTCGGGTAGGGAGGGCTAGCGGCTGGGCTAATCCCAACAGCTAATCTCTGGCTTTGCCTTCCTCCACCCAGTTAACAGCCTTGACATTCCTGAAGTCACCTACATCCCATTCTTACCCATCACCCATCTTTGAGTACCAACTCAATCCCGACTCATAGCAACCCTCTAGGATAGAATAGAACTGCCTCGCAAGGTTTCCAAGACTGCAAATCTTTATGGAAGCAGACCACCTCATCTTTCTTTTGTGGAACAGCTGGTAGGTTTGACCTTTGGGTTAGCGGCCAAGTGCTCTAACCACTATGCAGCCAGGGCTCCTTTCTCCCAGTACCAGAGGGAAGTATTCCCTCCATCTGATGTGTGTGGAAATTGTGACTCAAAGAGCCCAAGTGACTTGTTTCTGGTGCAGCAGAAAGTGCTTCAGGCTGGGATGATGGCCAGCCTGGACTGCCTTCATCTCCTGTTCTGGGCCATTCTCCCCAAAGGGGAGAGGGGTTGGAAATTCACCATGCAGATTGCTGGTCCTCTGATACCCCACCCCCTTGGTGCTGAATGAACACTGCCCAAACTATATGCAGGGAGCCTTGGCTCAAGTGACCTTGAATGGATGGGAGTAGTCTCAGGAGATGGCACTCCCAGGCCCCCAAGTTTTTCACAGCAAGGGCGAGAGGGTACTTCTTACAGCCCCCCCACCTTTATTGTGGCAAGACCTTCATGGCTCCTCATAGCTGCTCCAGCTTCTCTAGTTGCTCCCCCATGTTCTAGTCAGTCAGAGCTCTGGCCCCTGGACTCAAGTGCTTCTTGTTTGGAATAACTTTTACTCAACTTTCAAGGCTCAATCCATAGAGGCATCCTCCTTTCTGGACTCCCATGGGTCTCTTAGTTAATCCTAACGTGTGAGGGGAAGGAAAAAGATATTCATAGAAACAAGGTGCCTGCCACATTAGTGCCTATCTCATTTAATTCTCCTACCTCTTTGGGGAGGGAGCTCTGGTAGCATAGTGGCTAAGACACTTGCCTGCTAACCAGACGGCTGGCAATTCATACCCACCACCCACTCCACGGAGAAAGTTGTAGCAGTCTGCTTCTGTAAAGATTACAGCCTTGAGAACCCTATGGGGATAGTTCTACTCTGCCCTATAGGATCATTATGAGTTATAATTAACTAACTGAAACATCTCTCTTCCACCAGCCACTCCTCGGAAGGAAGGTTGGGCAATCCTACTTCCGTAGTGATACTGCCTCGGAAACCCAAGGAGGGGTCGCTATGAGTCGGGTTTGACTCGACGGCACATAATAACAACAACAACCACCTCTTTGGGGATAGTAATAGGTATCCCCCTCTTGCAGATGGGGAAGCTGAGGCTCAGAAGGGCTAAGTGACACCAGGGTCACATAGCTAGTAAATTGCACACAAGCACACTGATTGGTGGGTCGTATGGAACTCAGTGTCCATGCTGTCTGTCTTCTCTGGGAGTCTGGTTAGCCCAGGTCTGGCCACTCTGTGAGGGCTGCAAGGACAGGGTCATCTAGCCACGTTTCTAACCCATCTTCCTCTGCCCCCTCCCTCAGAGCGGGCCAGGCCACAACGTGGACACACTCCCAGACCTCTGCGGCCCTGGCCCCGCCTAACAGGATGAGCAGCTCAGATGCGGGGCTGGAGGAGGAGCCAGAGCTCAGCATCACCCTCACACTGAGGATGCTGATGCATGGGAAGGTGAATGGAGGGGTGAGGCCCTATCTGGTGGGGGTAGTGGGCGGGCAGATCAGTCATGGCAGAGAGGCCAGGCGGGGCTGCCCGAGTTTGACCTCAAGTGCCCTGCCTCCGGTGGAGTCACTGTCCCTGATGTGAGGAGGGCAGAGCCTGGGTCCGTTGGTCCCCTCTGACTTCACTCTTATCTTGTCTGCAGGAGGTGGGCAGCATAATCGGGAAGGTAGGTGCCAGCTCTGCTCTCTTCTTCCCCCTTACCTGAGGTCTCAGCCCAGGGAAGGAGGTGCCCACCACTCAGGCTTAAGAGCGATTCTCTCTCTCTTGTCTTGTGCAGAAGGGAGAGACCGTAAAACGAATCCGGGAGCAGGTGAGAATGGAGTTTGGGGGTGAATCCCAGTGCACCAAGGTGTGAAGGAGAGGGGAGGAGAGACCCTTGCCCCATCTCCTCCCCACTGCTCCTTGCACACTACTGCGCCTGGGATGACCCAGCCCCTTGGCTGTGGCCTGGCAAATGGAACAAGCAGAGAGGGTGCCCTTGCTGCCCGGCACTCATTCTGTACCCACAGAGCAGTGCCCGGATCACCATCTCTGAGGGCTCCTGCCCTGAGCGCATCACTACCATCACCGGGTCCACGGCTGCCGTCTTCCATGCGGTGTCCATGATCGCGTTTAAGCTGGATGAGGTTTGTAGTCCACCATGGTGGGAGTCTGGGAGTGGTTTGTGGGGACGAACATGAGCTGGACTCTAGATAGTGGCTACGGGCTGGAGGAGAGGGGCAGCAGAAGTGCTGGCGGTGGGGATCTTTCTGGAATTCCTTAGCAGGAAGGTGCTCTAGGGGGCAGGGAGAGCATCAGGGCACACGGTGTAAGTTTTACCATCTCTCTTCCTCAGGATCTTTGTGGGGCCCCAGCAAACGGTGGGAACATATCCAGGCCTCCGGTGACCCTGCGCCTTGTCATCCCCGCTAGCCAGTGTGGCTCGCTGATCGGGAAGGCTGGCACCAAGATCAAGGAGATCCGAGAGGTGAGGGGAAAGGCATACCACCTATAGGGCGTCCTCACTCTCCAGTGGGGGGAACCCAGGCTATGGTTTTCTGATCCTTGTGCCCTTTGGAAGTGGTCAGTAACCAGAAGGTGAGCAATTCAAACCCACCACCCACTCCACGGAGAAAGTTGTAGCAGTCTGCTTCTGTAAAGATTACAGCCTTGAGAACCCTATGGGGATAGTTCTACTCTGCCCTATAGGATCATTATGAGTTATAATTAACTAACTGAAAAATGGGGTTGGTTTGGTTTTGGGGCCCCTTGGAGCCTGGCAAGAACTTCTCTCAGCTATGGGAACGTTCAGAGTGGCCTCTGTTCTTTGCCCTCAGACCACAGGTGCCCAGGTGCAGGTGGCGGGAGACCTGCTTCCCAACTCCACGGAGCGTGCTGTCACTGTTTCTGGGGTGCCTGATGCCATCATCCTGTGTGTGCGCCAGATCTGTGCTGTTATCCTAGAGGTGCTGCCCTGGGGCAGGGAGAGAGGGGCAGGGGCTGAGCCCTGGACCTACCTTGTCAGGCACTCAAACCCTTATTTATGTGACAGCCAGTTGGGGCAGGGAAGGGCCAATGGGGGCAGGGCAGTGCTATAAGAATTGATTAGCAGCTCTAGGATGTAGAGTGCATTTACCTGGGAGTCAGGGGGAGGGTTTGAGGCCAGAGTGCCCTTAGGGGGCAGGGGGGTCCTGATAGAGCCTCCCCATTTGTGTCTTCCAGTCCCCACCCAAAGGAGCCACTATCCCATATCATCCAAGCCTCTCCCTAGGCACAGTCCTCCTTTCTGCTAACCAGGTAAGGGAGAACAGGGGAGGGTTAGGGAGCATTCTAGAGGAAGAGGAGGAAGTTTGAGGTGGGGAGGGGATGGAAGAAGTAATAGATGGTCCAGGGAGAGTGGGAGGAATGACTCTGGCTAAGTACATCAACCTGTCATAGTAACCCCTTTTTCACTTTGTCCTCACAGGGCTTCTCTGTCCAGGGCCAGTATGGGGCTGTGAACCCAGCTGAGGTGAGTAACCCTCAGCCCAAGGTGCCCCCTTTTTGAGCCAAGTCCCCTCTGACCTGTGACTACTCTTCCTTTGGCACAGGTCACCAAGCTCCAGCAGCTCTCAGGGCACACGGTCCCCTTTGCCTCACCAAGTGTGGTGCCAGGTGAGCAGTTGCTAGAGGAGGCAGGGTTGAATAGGGCAACTCGAAGGGGCTAGGCAGCCCTACAAGAATGGATTGGATTGGGGTGGGGTAGTGGGGGAGCTGAGAAAGAAGACCTAGCACCATGTCTGATCCCTTTTCTTCCCCTCAGGACTGGATCCCAGTGCGCAGACCAGCTCGCAAGAATTTTTGGTTCCCAATGATGTGAGAGGGGGAATGGGGTAGTGTGAGGGAGGGAGGGACCTGGGGGTCTGGGTCTTGCCCAGGGTTGAATTCCACCCTTCCCTCAGCTGATTGGCTGCGTGATCGGGCGCCAGGGCAGCAAGATCAGTGAGATCCGACAGATGTCGGGGGCACATATCAAGATTGGGAATCAAGCGGAGGGTGCTGGTGAGCGACACGTGACCATCACTGGCTCGCCAGTCTCCATTGCCCTGGCCCAGTACCTCATCACTGCCTGGTGAGCTGGGGGAGGGATCAGGGTAGGGTGGGGAGAGCTGACATCCTTCTGTCTGTCTGAGTCTGTCCCTTGCCTCCCCTAATTCTATCCCACCTCCCCATGGCTCTGCCTAACTCACCCTGCCTTCCCTCTCTACAAGCTCCCCTTGTGTCCTCTCTCCCCGGCCGGGCTTGTCTCATCTCTTCCCTGGGTCATTGGCCTCCCCATCACTCCCCTCACTCCATACCACATCTGCTTTTTCTTCCTTCCCATCCTCTCCCATTCTTCATGTTCCCCCCGAACACCTCCACCCTATGTCACTGTTCTCCCCTCAATTCCTCTCCTCTCCTTCTAATCTTGCCTCCTATATTTGCCATCTCTCTTTCCTCCACCTTCCCCTTCATCTCCCTACTATGTCCCTCTCTCCAGTCTAGAGACGGCCAAGTCTACCTCTGGGGGGACGCCCGGCTCAGCCCCTGCAGACCTGCCTGCCCCCTTCTCACCACCCCTGACGGCCCTACCCACAGCTCCCCCAGGCCTGCTGGGCACACCCTATGCCATCTCCCTCTCCAACTTCATCGGCCTCAAGCCAGTGCCCTTCTTGGCTTTGCCACCTGCCTCCCCGGGGCCACCGCCGGGCCTGGCAGCCTACACTGCCAAGATGGCAGCAGCCAATGGGAGCAAGAAAGCTGAGCGGCAGAAATTCTCCCCCTACTGAGGCCGGCTGAGACACAGGCCGAGGCAGGCAGGACCGCCAGGCAGAAGGCTGCCTCTGCACCCTACCTGCCCAAGGAGACTCCACCCAGGGGTCTCCAAGGCCGCTGAAGCTCAGACGCATGGATGCACCCTCCATCCTGCTCCTGCAGGAGTTCTTTCTGAGTGGGGGCAGTTTCTGGCCCAGGGTTTTGGGAGCTTTGGCACCCAGAGGCAGGGAGCCCCACCCCCTCAGCTCTACACTTGGATGCAGGGAGCAGCCAAGGGCCTTCTTTCATGTTTTCACCTTGAGGTGGTTCACTCATGCACTCCTACCCCCTAGGGCTTCCCAGCCTACTGCTCCTCCTGTGGGGATCAAGGAGGAGGGCTGGGGGGCACTGGGGGCCATGCTTCTCTCCCCACCTCCCTGCAGATTCCTGCTGCTTCCACTGACACCCTTTTGACTGGAATGGACTGGCTGGGCTTGGCAGGGGGAAACCCAAAGGGGAAGCACTATCTGGTAGCTGGGGGAGGTGACGTGGGGACAGGGGCCGAGTTCTCAGCAGCTGACACTCTGTACAGTTTTTTCAATCCCTGTTTTTGAATAAATATTCTCAGTGACCAGGAAGCTGTGAAACACTGTGGGGAATGGGTTTAGGGTGACAAAGAGAGACTGGGTACAGCTGAGGCCCCAGAGAACTCCCATCTGTGAATCTGCCAGCCCTTGCTGGGCCTCAGCCCCTTCCACATGCCAGTCTTGGGGCTACCAGGCCCTTTGGGTTCATGTTGTTCAGGCTCCTGGGTTTAGTACCAAATTGATCTGGTTGTTGCCTGGGCATCTTAGAAGCTGATGGAGAAGTTTCAGTAGCTTTGTCTAGCCTCTTCTCTCGCAGATGTCAGCAAAGTCCTCCAGAATGTCTCTCCACTGGTTCCTTCCTTCAGGTGGCTGTACCCCAGGTCCTGCCCTGCTTGGCCCATCCCTTTGGCTGTGAGCCCCTGGGACCCTCTTATCTTCCCTTGGTGTGATCTGTGACCCTGCTCATCTCTTCTTCTCCCTTGGCCTGGAAAACTATGAGTGTCACAAACCACTTAAACTGGAGAGATGGTTCAGGATACAGATGAGAAAACTCAGGCCTAGGAAAGGACAGGTCCATGCACAAAGCCATATTGAGTTGGGTCTAGAACCCAGAACTTCCGGATGCGAGAAGCTTCTGGGCCTCACAGGCTGCAGGCATATTTTCTCCCCCTATACCATAGCCAAGTTCCGGTGGGAGGGACATGGGCCACCACCTCTGAAAGAGGCCAGGTGAGCCCCTTTAATGGTGCTTTCCTTTCTGTAGTCCCAGCTCAGCTTGGGAAAGAGATTCTGTCTCAGGTGGCCTCTGGCATACTCAGGCTCCCCTCTCCCTCCAACTCAGGGACTTGTTCAGGGACCTCAGCAGGGCCCTCACGATGTCCCTGGAGAAGCTGCCGGAGTGCTCGTGGGTGCCAGGCTTGCAGAGCACAGGCCAGCGGGGGCCAGGGCAGCACACGGCGGGCAAGGCGGCCCAGCGCTCGGCGCACGGGGCGCTGCAGCAGGCCGTACAGGAAGGGGTGGGCTGCGAAGGCAGAATAGGCCACCCAGGTTATTGCCGCTTCGGCAGATGCGGCTCGCGCTGCGGGCGCCAGGCACGCGCAGCCATAGGGTAGCCAGCAGGCTGCGAATTGGCCCACGGCCAGCGCTGGAGCCAGGGCCGCCTTGCCCCCAGGCAGGCGAGGCCTGAGGGGCGGCAGGATGGAGAGGCGACTGTCTAGAGAGTCCGAGCGCAGCCTGGACCCTCGCGCGGGCCGCAGGGGCCGCGGCGGATGTAGGGCGGCGCGGCGGGCCACAAGGAAGATGCTGCCGTAGGCGCCAAGCATCAGGAGGGCAGGCAGTGCGAAGGCCAGCAGCGCCCAGAGTGGTCGGAAAGGCCCGAGACCACCAGCCAGGACCGAGCAGCGCGCTGGGGTAGGGGGCGGTCCAGGTGGCGGCCCAAGCAACGAGAGCGCGCCCAGCAACCCAGCCGCGGCCCACACGACGGCGAGCACGAGCGCGGGCGGGGGCCGCGCGCCGGGCCGCAGTGGGTGTACGATGAGGCGGTAGCGCGCTAGGCCGAGGGCTGCCACGCCGAGCGTGCAAGCTGGCAGCAGCGCGGCGGAGAGGAAGCGTGCGGCGCGGCACGGCGCGGGGCCCAGGCGCACGCGGCCCAACCCCGGCGGCGGCGCGGCCACCAGGCCTAGCGGCATAATGGAGGCGGCTGCCAGCAGGTCCACGACGCATAGGTGTGCCAGGTAGAGCGCGTCAGACAGCCCTGGCGTGCGCAGCACCACCGCCAGCAGTGCGCCGTTGCCCAGCAGTGTTGCCGCCTCCACGAAGGCCGCCAGGACCAACCCTACCGAGCCAGCAACTTCTGTGGCGTCCAGCTCCGTGGTGTTGGCCATACAAGCATTCAGGCTTTTCACCCTGTGCTGGGATGGAAAGAGCGAAATAGAGCTCTCCCTGCTCCTAGATTCCAATCACCCATCATCCCTCCCTTCCCTGACCCCTCACCTTACAGGTTGCCCAGGCGCTGGCTCCGTTTTGCCCAGGCTGCTGACCTCTCAGGGGCATGACCTGCCCCATGGAGAGGTGCAAGGCTGGGCCTGCCAGGGCTCTCCCCTGCCCCAGCTGGGCAACTCGGCCCCTGCTGGAGATGGTACTGGCTGTCACTCTGATGTTGCCCTTTAGAGACACCCAGAGACTGGGAGGGAGGGGCAGGGCCTGGCACTGTCCCCCTGGGTCCTAGCAGCTGCCAGCTGGAGGCCAGAGGCTCTGCTGTGGAAGTGGGCTTGGGAGCTCAGAGCAGGCATAGGCTGGAGTCTAGACTGAGGAGGTTAGAGTTTGGGCTTTGGAGTCAGCCAGACCCAGCTCTGCCTTTCCTAGTGGTGGGACAGGGTTGCCATCTGGTCTCTTTCCCCATCCCTGTCAGTGGAGGCAATTAGATAATTTAGCCTTTGTGCTGAGGCAAAACTGAGGTACCAGTGAGACAAGAGCTGGAGCAGGAAGACCCTTAGGTACTCTCTGGCCCCAGCAGGACTGGTTCGGAAAGAGCGGTGGCTGAGAAATAGGAGGGAGAATCTCAGGGCATGAAACATAGGAAGTGCTAGCTGGTATTAGCTTGGCGCAGAGTAGGTGCTTTGTGATTGTGTATGAAATAAGTGAGTGACTTTTTTTTTTTTTTTTGGCCTACTGGGAAACAAGTAAATTTCATCTCAGGAATTTTTCTTTGCTCCTTCAAAGTCCCACATCCAATCCATCAACACATCCAGAAACTAACCATGCTCACTACTACTACTACTGCTACTACCCTGGTTCCAGGCACCATCACCTCTCACCTGGACCATTTTAGCATCCTCCTATCAGGCCTCCTGGCTTCTGCTCCTACATCTAATTCTGGTCATTTGCCTGTTTGCCCCACTCTTCCTAATGCTGCTTGGTCTTCCAGGGAACTATACTTTCCAGGCTTCTTTGCCCACTGGATTTTTTCATACGAAGGGAAGTTACCAGCGGAAGACTAGGAGGTGAAAGGAGGGAAAAAGCCAGGGTTATTTCTGGGGATTTGGACCTACCACTGTGGAAGATAGCCCCAGCTTCTGCATCCAGGCCATTGGGCATCCTTACACTATTTCCTTCCTTTATCCCTCCAGCCTAGGGGTGAGGGTTACTTCTTTTGTTGCTAAAATTGTCTCACCATCACCTGATTGACGGTTCAGTTCCTTCCCTGTGTCAGTCTCCTCGTGTCTGAAATATCTACGGTGATTTCTGTTTTACTGACTGTACCCTGACACACACTCTACAGTCTACTCTCATGGCAGCTAAAGTGGGTCCTTCTAGAATCAAATCGGATCAGGTCATGGCCTTGCTCTCAACCCTCTGAGAGCTTCCCAGCATCAGAATCTCAGCTCCTCAGTGAATGGGCCTCTGTGATCTGCCTTCTCCCCACCTGTCTGACCTCACCTTCGTCCTCCTTCCACTCCCAGACACAACAATCGTCCTGCTGTTCCTCCCACATGCAAACCAGCTTCCACTTCAGGGTCTTTGCATCTGCTGTTCCTGTGCCAGAACACTGCTCAAGAGTAGCCTTCCCTGACTTTCTTTTCTAAAATTGTTCAAACTTCCTATCACCCTCATCCTTTCACCCTGCTTTATTTTTCTGGCACTTTCTCTATCTGACGATACATCTTATATATATATGAGTATTTGTTTAAAGCCCATGTTAGTAGAACGTAAGCTCTGAGAGGAGGAACCTCATCTATGCCTTGCTCATGCCTGTGCCTCAGAACCCATCACAGGCTCATGGACAGGACAGATCTAGATGGTGACCAGAGCATGAACCTGCTTGATTCATTTCGTGCTGGAATCGGAAGAGCCCTAGTCCAATTCTCCATCATTCAGATGAGAAAAGGGGTCCAGAAAAGGAATGTATCCCAGATCACACAGCTGAGCTAGACCTGGAACCCAGGTAACCTGCTTCCTAGACCAAAATCAGACCAAACTCATTACTGTCGAGTTGATTCTTGCTCATAGTGACCCTATAGGACAGGGTCAGAATTCCCTGTAGGGTTTCCAGGGCTATAAATCTTTACAGAAGCAGATTGCCACATCTTTCTCCCACAGAGTGGCTGGTGGGTTCAAACCTCTGAACTTTCCGTTAGCAGCTCAGCACTTAACCACTGTGACTTGAGGTGCTTCTCTACTTCCCAGAGCTCTGTTCCAAAAGGAAGCCCCTCCCTGTACTTGGCCACAGCTTGAAAACGTGGCCATTAGATGTCTCTAAGAGGTGAAAATCTGGATTTTGTGAGATCTTGGTTCAGAGGAATGAGAAGGGCTGACTCCTCCTTCCTCTTCTCCCTGCCCAGTCATGCCTGCAGGCCTGGGACAGCCTCTTAGCCACCAGGACCCAGGGAGGGTTCAGCAGGGCCAAGGAGAAAGGTGGGTTAGGATGGCAACTATACTGAGTTGGAGAGTGTATCCTCCCTCCAAGATTTATTAGTAATTTGTAAAATTAATTAGAAATCACTAATTGCAAATAAATGAAAACACTTTAGTATGGGAGCTGTGGTGGCACATCGCCTAAGCCATTTGACTGCTAACCAGAAGGCTGACGGTTCAAACCCACCAGCCACTCCATGGAAGGAATATTGGGCAATCTACTTCCATACAGATTTAGCACCTCAGAAATCCAAGGAGGGGTCACTATGAATCAGGATCGACTCAATGGCAGTGAGTTTTGGGTTTGAGTTTGTAGTATAATTTTTTTTTTTTTTTTTAATGTCCAAAGAGAAACACAGGCAGGATAAACCAGAAACTAGTGAAACAGGATTCCTACAGGGGGTAGGAATGAGTGCAGGGGACAGAAAGATTGCGACTCTTCTTAGCACACCTATTTGTATAGTTTGGACTTTCTGGAACAGTGTTTAAAAAAAAAAAAAAGAAAGGCAAATCACCAAAGATGGGGAAGGGCCTTAAAAGTTAATGTGAACAGGAACATGAAGGCAGAAATGGTTAGGACTCACAAAAGTCAATGCAGCGCCACCTTGAATTCATTGCACCCCTGAGCTCACAGGAGCCCTGATTTCATAGCACCCCTGAATTCATTGCACCTCTGAGATCATAGCATCTCTGAGATCATAGAATCCCTGAGCCCTTTGCACCCTACCATCCCTGGCCCTGCCTGAATCACAGACTTGACACGGCCCAGCCGTAACCCAGTATTCATTAGTGGCAGAAAATGTCCTATTTACTGGTACCTTTGGTATTCTTATCTATGAAAACAATATTTTTGTGCCATTTTTTAATCTGAAAAAATATTATAAAACTTTTGTACTGTACAGACTTATACAATAAAATGTGGACATGTGAAAAAAAAAAGTGAATGTAAACAGTAACAAACAAATCTTTCTGTATTTCAAATAAGTTAACCACACTGAAGGGAATAAATTAATCCAAGTAACATTCGAACCTGTGCTCCAGCTGTTTCCTTGACCATTAGCCCCTCAGTCTAGAGACAACATACATCTTGAGCTCTACTTGGAAAGTGTTTTTCACAATGCTTTGGGTATAACAGTTCTGAAACCTCTCTCTTTTTTTTTTTTTTTTTAATTAGGATTTGGGTGAAGATTTACAGAGTAAATTCACTTTTCATAGAGCAGTTCACATGTACTTTGTCTCATGTCATTGACCAAAATTTACAATGCAACAGCTCCCCTCCCACTTCCTCCCCATAGTTACCTCCTCCCAGTGTCCATCCCTTCATACTCTTCTGCACCCTGAACTATCTCCCTGTGCATAAGCAGCCTTTCCTTCTCCCATGATTGTTCTCTCCAGGGCGTGTGTCTACTTGAGGTAAATGTTTAACTCACATGCCTGTACTTTGTTTGGCTGGAAACCACAGTTGTGGGTTCAATTCCAGACCTGAAGGGCAGCTAGGGGCCATAGTCTCAGTGGTTACACCACTGAAACCTCTTTTTGTGTACAATCAAGCAAATGGTAGATTGATCCTGATGGGAACTAACGTTCTTACTGCCAGAGATGGGAGAAATATGGAATCAGGGAAGGATGGAAAAGCACTGTGTTGTGTTGGGTTGGGATTGGAGAAACATAGAGAGATGTGTGTTTGTTTACAAATACATATTTCTTGGCTGTTTTAATTAAAAGGACTTAAAAGCAAGGGTACCCCAGTAGCAAGGAGCACACCTGCTCTTGGATTCTAGACCTTAGATTCTAAATACCATTTTCTGCTCCAAAGCACCGGAGCTCCTTGGAGAAATGGCTGATCCCAGGCTCATGCAAGATGAGCCTGGAACATCTTGTTATGCCATAAAGTAAGGAAGTGCTCAAAAAACAATGGGAACACAGGTGTCAGCTTGAAGAAACTGCCACTGGCAAACTCTGGGGCAATCTGAGGATCAAAATAAATAATGACAGTAATGGACTATGACCCAGTGAGTAAAATAAAGAACCCATGAATCCAGACTGATGATAAACAATTAAACAAAACAAGAACACTAACTGATCAATATAAGAGACATGATGGAGTTAAACAGTGCAAAACTAAATAAATAAAAATATATAGAAAAAGAGAGAAATGGTGGAGTTAAATAATTACCATTTATAACTATCTTAAAAATTTATTTAGGTCATTGATTTCAGGTAAAAATCGTCAATGCATGTTAAAGCTAATGGATGAAGGTTTGATGAAGAATAGGGCATATATACTCAAAATATTTCCCTACAGATCACTTATTAATTACAAAGGGTAACTTTATGGTGGAGAGACTTGGTGGACACCACCTTAATTAAGTAATCAAAGTTAATGACCAAGAATGGGACAAGTTCCTCCTGACACACTATACCCAGGACATGTTATCTATGTAGTATTTCTGCTCAAACTGCAACACCATAATCTAATCATGAGTAGATATCTGACAAATTCAAGTTGAGAGAGATTCTATCAAAATGTCTGTACCCTTCCAGTGTCAAGAATATCAAAGTCATGACAGGAAGAAAGAAAGAAAGAAAGCGGGCAGGCCAAGGAACAGTTCCAGATTAAAGGAGACCAAAGAGACATGACAACTAAATGGAATGGAATGTGTGACCCTGGACTGGATCTAGCACTTGTACTCCTCTGTGGACCAGGGTCACCTGGGGTGATAGCCAGCATTCCTATGGCTGTACAATGTCTGTACTGCCTCCTTTCACGAATGCAGAGCTGGGAACCTGTGCCCTTCTGGTATATGGTTAACTTGTTGGTAATGTTCAGATATAAGACACACATGGATGTTTGTGCCAAGACGTGAGGACTACCTGGTTCACCTGGCAGTATTTGGGCAAAAAGAAATGCTTCTCACAGGAAGTCAAGAGCCCACAAGAAGCAGCTATGAATCCCTAAGGGGACCCCCAAATGACAAACAGTTCTAACTGCTGGTGAGGGTTCCTTTGACATTTAAGTTACTAAAGGAGGTGGGTTGTTATGGTGATGGGCATGGACTGACCAGGATGGATGCTGAGGGTGGCTGACCCTGATCAACCTTTGTGAGCACCTGCTCCCTGGAGTGAGGTGAGAGCTGCTGTGCCCTGGGTCCCTGTGGAGAGACAGGAGTGCCAGGCCTGGCGTGGCTGAAGCACAGACAAGCAGAGCCCAGAAGTGAGAGAATCCCATGTTTAATAAACCTGCCTGTGCACGGCTGACATTCAGCCTCTCTCTCAGATGTATAGTCTGGACCAGGTGGCCAGTCCTGGGGTGTGTGGAAGGCAGTCCACTCTCAGGCTGTGCCCCTCTAACCACACAGCTTTGAATAGACTGCTGCTTCCATGTCTAAGTTATAACTACAAGTTTCCAGTCACACCCATCAGTTTAGGATGGGAGATTCTGGGGCCAAGTCTAGTATAACAAGGATGGGAGGGTGTGTGTGCAAGATACAGGAGGGCCTGGCAAGAAGGGGGTGACAGGGGAACACCAAGGATGGGCAAGAAGATTGAAAATTATGGGTCAGCAAGCAGAGCCCCATGGGCTGGGGCAGGCAGCTCAGAGGCGAATCTCCAGCAGGTAGCGCAGGCGGCACTGGCTCTCCTGGTAGATGAGGTACTCACTCTGGAAGAAACTGGAGCTGCTGAACTTGGGGCAGGGCACAGGCCGGCCCTGGGGCACCGTCACTTGATGCCCATCCAGTTCCAGCTCCGTGTCTTGGGTTGGATCTGCAAGACACATTAGGGGCTGTGGGTGACTAAGGGTCACTGATCCTTGGCCTTACTGGGGGACAGGTATTTCTGAGGGAAGACCCTAGGTCAGTCCTACCTCCTATTCTCTCCATATCTGCCACAGGGAACCCCTGCTCATTCCCACATTACCCACCTGTAAGTCTTTGTGAAGACTGGACTTTCTCCTCCACTTCTCTGCCTGGGAAATTCCTACCCATCCTTCAACACTCAATGACACCTCTTCTTTGATGCCCTCCTGGATGCCCCTCAGTGAATGTCTGGCAAACGACTAGATGAATGACTATAGCAAGGAAGCCTGCTTCTTTACTTTGTCCCTCCTCATAGCCCCTTCCCTGCTTGCCTTTTCTCTGAAAACATCCTGGGTTGCTGATCTCAAGCTCCCCTCCCTCCTTAGGTCTGTTGAGCTCCCAGATACTCACCAGGCTCTGTGTGGCCTCGGGCGATGACACTGTCGAAGCCAGAGGGTGGCTGGCTCAAGGTGGGCTCATCAATGGTGATGTGGTACTCTTGGCCCAGTGCCACCTCGCCCAGGAACATATATCCGATGTGGTGAGCCCCGCAGGACATGCCAGTAACTGGGGACACAGGGAAGCCCAGAGGTGGGCAGCAGGGCCCTCCTGTTGACTCCCCGGTTTCCTCTGGTTCACTGTTAACTCCTCTGGCTTTGCTATCCCAGAAAAGTGCTCACTCAACCTCTATCCTCTAAAACACCCTCTTGCCCTGACTGTGCTCCCTCCCACCTCTCTCTGTCGCTCCTCACTCCCTGCAGCCAGCCTGGCCCCCAGTGCAGTCCTCACCAAGGTCATCAATGGCTTTCTAGTGACCACACTGGAGGCCTTTGGGGCCTGCTTTGCTGCCTTTGCCACTTGCATCCTTTACCCCCTACCCTGGAAGTCTCCATGTGCTAGCTCTCCTGAGACCCCTGCCACTCTCTCTTAAGACTCTTTCTCTTCTGCCTGTGGGTGGATCCCTTGGCCTTGGGCAACCATGGGCATCCCAGAGTTTGGATGAATCCCTGTACCTTGCTGTCTTGGGTGGGTAGGTAGCAGTGGTCTCTAGGCATGGAGTTAGCCTGGGCTGAGTCATCTAGTGAAGATATTCCCAGTCAGTAGCTTGGGGCTCACTAGCGATACCTTTGCCCCTTTCGCACACGCTGCCCAGCCCACCTTCCAGACACCCATCTCATGGCTTCCCTCCTCCTCATCCCTGATGCCTGAGGCTGGGCCCCATCACATCTGGACTGGATGAGAGTGTGGCCTCCTGCAGCCTCCTGGCTCTGCTCTGGCTTGCTTTTACCCTCCTCACAGCTGCAGCCACTGAGAGCCTGCTATCCATAGTCTAACTGCATTCCCCATCACTCTCTGGATAAGGACCCCTTGATCCTCCTGGGCCCCCAGGCTCCCTGCCAAGCATTAGCTCTAAACTGCAGTATCAGGAAGTACTCGGAGGTCCTAACCTGCTGCAGCCTCCCAGTCTCTGTACCTCTGTACCTACTACTTTACCTTGAAGGCCCCTCTTACACTGCTCCCAGGTCTAGTTGGCTCTTTCATCTCATCTGTATTACCTCCTCCAAGAAGTCATCCTTGACTACCAGGTATCTCTTCAGAGTCCCCACAAGCTCTAGGATGCCCCACTGACAACTCCAGTCAGTAACCATTTAAGGGTCCCTCTCCTAGGTACACCAGTCCCTGGGTGGTACCAATGGTTAAGGGCTTGACTCCCAGCCTAAAGGTTGGTGCTTTGAGCCCACCCAGAGGATTCTTCGAAAACAGACCTGGCGATTTACTTCCCAAAGTTTACAGACTTGAAAACCCTAGGGAGCAATTCTACTTTGCTCACGTGGCATTGTCATGAGTCAGAATTGACTTGAAGAGCTAACAACTCTTGGATATACCCTGAGCTTCCAGGGGCAAGGCCTGGGCCCAGTCTACCTTAGAGTCTCCATTCCTGGTCTGGGGCTTGGCTTGGAGGGGTGTCTCACCATAGCCAGCAGACTTGCTGTTCTCTGAGGCAAAGTAGATGCCCTTGCCGACACGGCCACCAGAGTGTGGCATGATGCGAAGCCCGCTGGTGAGGATGGCGGCCACCACGGCCACATTGGTGCCGTGCCACAGCAGTCGCCGATTACCCAGCTTCGAGTGGGCCTGGAACCTGTCTCCCTGAGTTAAAGGGGAGGGAGGGAATGGAGAGTCATCCCATCCAAGGGCTCAGGCACCTTTCTTTGTTGCCCAGATGGGCATGCTGAGGCCAGAACCCCTCTGCTCACTAACAGACACTCACACATACACGTGTGAGACATAGGTCTGGTGGCCAGAGTTGCTAAGCCAGCTGGCCAAGATACAGATAAGTGAGGTTACCTCCCCAGGGACAGGGTGGAGATGGGGGTTGGGAGACTCTGCCTTACTTCTCCTTCTCGGTTCACTTTCCACACATGTTGAAGGGCAGGGCGCCTGTAGGTGCTGCCAGTCTGTTCCAAGTAGGTCTGGATCACCTACAGGGAGAGCAAAAGCTGGGTGCCGAGAGCAAGGGATTCACAGACTAACTCCCTCCAGTCCCCCCAGTCCAAGAGCTTTCCTCTGGCCCTGGAGACACAGGGAGAGATAGCCAAGGATGAAGGATGCCTCTGGGCACCTCAGGAACAGTGGGCAGAGGAATGGTGCTCACTGTCAGCCTGGCTTGTCTGTGGAGCCCAGCCCACCTTGTACTCGGGTGCTCCCGAGTCCAGCAGCTGAAGCTGACACTTGAGGAGTTTGTAGTCTCGATCCAGAGGGTGTGGCACCTCCTCCACCTTCTTCTCTTCCTCAGGAGCTGCCTGTAGAGTCTGGGCCAGCTCGATGTCTGCCAGCACCTATGATGACAGGCACTGGCAGCTTGTTTGCCCATCTGACCTCCAGTCACATGACTAGCCCCATGGCCACCCACCTCTCCGCTCACTTGTCCATCCCAACCCCATCTATCTGGCTGGCCTTCCCCTCCCCCGTCCTTTGTCCTGACTACTGTAGTCCAGCCACCTGGGCCTTCCTGGCCATCTCTCATCTCCCATGCCTAGTCTTCCTTCTGTCCACCTGCCAGCCCTCACCAGCAGCATGTCCTTCTTGGCCTGCAGCAGTTCAAGAGAGTTGATGGGTGGTGGCCGGATGCGCCCAAAGTTGTGGGGGATGACAGTGTAGAAGCGGGAGGACAGCTCTTCCAGGCTGGGGCTGCCATCCATGGGGGCTTTCAGGGCCATCTCCAGTGCCTCCAAGGCCTCAAAGCCCCGTGCTATCTGTTGCTTACTTAACTTTCCCAGGGGCATCTTCTTCACATCTAGGGGGGCAGGGGGAGTGAGGAGACTCAGCCTAGCTGCCCTGCCTCCCCAGGGCCCCTACCACTCTGCCCATCCACTCACCCAGATTCATGAGGGTCATAGCATTTTTGAACATGTCTTTGCTGAAGATGTTGGTGATGAGCTTCTGTGTGGCTGGGTCCAGGGAGCAGGGCTGAACTCTCTGGACCACAGTCTCCATGGGGCCTCCACTCACCTACAGGCAGAGGGCACACGTGAGTAGGAACAGCCAGGTAGGGCACCTGTACCTGGAGCTGGGCCCAGCATTAGAAAGAAATAGCCAGACCAGGATGGGGAGGTCTATGGCTGAGGCTACACAGTTGGGCAGTGTCAGAACCAAACTGGCTATGTCTCCCTGTACAGTCCCCTCTTTCAGCCCAGGCCACCTACGTTCCTCAGCCACTTACCTTCACCACAGCCTCCTGGGTCTCGTCTTCTCCTTGCACCTCGATAAGTGTGTACTTGCCAGGGTGGGCCACGAAGTGGTCTCGTTCAGCCCAGCTGTTCTTGGTCTTGTCCCGAAACTTCTTCTCAAAGTCCTTTTTGGCTGCCTCCAGCGACGGGAAGTGACTGAGCTTTGACTGGCCCACTTCTCCCTGCAACTGATAGCCTTCAGGGGTGCGCCCACTATAGTACTCTCCACAAACATGTGTTGGCCTCTATATTGGGCCAGGTCCTGTGCTGCAGAGGTGGGGGGGGGGCAGACAGTAGCTGTGGTCTTTTGCTTTGAATAAACTGTGTGGACCCTGGGGAGCAGGGAGTGGGTGCTGAGCAGGAGGAGGTAGGGAGAAGGAAGGCACAGGGTGGGTGGGGGGCACCCACCACGCGGCCCCAGCGATTCCAGCAGCTGAAGCTGTTGCCATCTTCCAGCAGCTGGATAATGTAGAACTTGTTGTTGTTGTTCCCGATGTTGGTCTGATTCAGGGTGCAGTCATAGTCTTCATGCACCTGGGGTCCAAGGGAATGTGGTGGGAAGACAGGCTGGCTGGTATTGCCCCCCAGGCTAAGCAGGGGACCCACATACACACTGAGAGGGATCTGATAAGGACAGAAATCAGGCTGCATTGGAGAGTCAGAGGGGTCCCTGTCTTGGAAGATTTGAGGGGATCATGGTTTTGCCCTAGGAGATGCAGTCTAAGGGCACACGGCAAAACCTTGGCCATGCCCTTGCTGGGGGATGAAGCTCTGGGAGAACATGGCTGTGCCCTAGGGGTTCAGACAGGGACATGATCCTCCTTTGGGAGGGATCTGAGAGAGATTTGGCCCTACCCTGTGGAACTGGTTTGAGGGAATGTGGGTGAGCCCCTGAGAGACTGAGAGAGACAGAGCTCTAATTTAAGTGTGGTAGTGGGGAGGCCTGAGAAGGCTGGGATCTGCCCTGGGGTCTGAAGAGCAGATGCAACCTACAGCCCTGCTTTTAAGGATCTTGGGAGAACATAGCCTTTCTCTGTAGCTTATTTGGGAACCTTGAGCTTCTTGGCCAGAGTTGAGCCCCAAGGGGGCAGGTGGCAGGTCTGGGTGTATTTGTATTTGTGAGGGGGCACTCCACCCAGGTTTGACTGAGGGCTGCAGGCTCACCTGGGTCCCAGGCCTGTGGCTCAGCGGGCACACAGGGTCCACGCGGACTCTGCGCATTTCTGCAGGTGCAGTCCGGAGGGCCTCAGCTGTGGAGTGGAAATTGTCTTCCTCCTCTGTCCCCTGGTGCCCCTTCTTCTTCTGAGGGACCTTATTCTGCACTGAGGCCTTACGCTTTGGAGCCATGACTGTCTTGGAATAAAGAAGGGGTCCTTAGACCTCCATGGCCTTCATAATCAGTCCACCTGACAGGAGAGCACCAATTTGCCCCAGCTTGGGCTTACCCTTCGATGGTCTCCCAATGCCTCCTCTTGCCTCTGCTGCCCCATTCCCAGCCCTGGACCAAGCCAATCTCTACATCCCAAACCCACCCCCTCCCCGTCACAGGTGCCAGGCCAGGATGCACCCCTTCCTGCTACTTAAGATTAAGGAAAAATCTTGTCCTCTGGCCACTCCAGTGAGTCTGCATGTGGTAGGGGAAAGTGAAAAGAGTTGTTCTCCCCTCCTACTTCTGGGCTTCTCCCCTTCCAGAGCATCTGGTGAGTTGATTCAGACTCACAGCTAGTCTATAAGACAGAGTAGAACTGCCCTATAGGGCTTTCAAGGCTGTAAATCTCTACCAAACCAGATTGCCTCATCTTTTTCCCACAGAACAGCTGATGGGTTTCAACTGCTGGCCTTTTGGTTAGCAACACAATGCTTTAACACTGCACCATCAGAGCTCCTCTCTTTCAAGAGCACTCTGGGCTAAGTCACCAGACCTGGGGATGGAGAAAGAGAGGCTAGGAGGACGAGCTCAGGATGAAGTGATGTAGAAGCCCTTCCCAACTGACCCAATAGTTCTGGGGTGCTGGCCAGTGCAGCAGACCAGTGGGCTCCCAGAAGGCAGATTCCAGCCCCACCCTGCCCTGCCCTGCCTAGGAGGGCTTTGGGCAAGGCACTCACCTATAGGAGAAACAGGGACCAGGAGGAGGTGTCTACCACCAGGTCTGGTATCAGGACCGCTGTGTGCACCTCCTGCGGCAGTCACAGGTCTGGGGCCTCCTCTAGCTTTCCTTTCTGAGCCTTAGGCATGACTTAGGGAGGGACTTCCCAGCAGTCACCAGAGGCGGGCTGTAGATAAGTGGGGAGTAAAATTTCAGCTATTTGGCTACCAGTCGGGCTGAGTCAGAGAGGACTGGGCGGGCCTGCCTCACAGATAAGTGGGCACTTGACCCGGACAAGGCCAAGGTCCCAGGAACAGGTGCGTCCTTAGCGCTGCTCGTATTGCCCAGAGAATGTGGCACGTGTCTGCTGGTTGCCCAGTGTCTGCTGGTTGCCCAGTGACCTTGGGTCCCTGCACCGCTCCTCTCTCCCTGGGGGCTGCTTGGATCTTGCCCATTCTCCAGTGCCAGGCTGGTTCACCTCTTGCCCCACCCTAGACCGGGAGGAGTCACGCTCCGAATCCCGCTAGCCCGCATCTCTATCGCCCCCTAGTGATCAAGAGGCGCAAACACAGACGTTTTTCTGGCCGGATCCCTCTTTAGGAAGTCAGTCAGCAGCAGAGCGCACACTCCTCAGCCTTAGCCCGGAAGCGAGAGGCTTGCTTCCTATTGGAGCCTGGCGCGAGAGCCTATCAGAGGTCTAGGAGGCGTAGACACAGGCTTCTGTCCTATGGGCTGGGGGGGGGGGGGGAGAGAGAGAGAGAGAGAGAGAGAGAGAGAGAGAGAGAGCGCGAGAGCCTGAGGAAAGGACCAATGAAGCTGTGGGAGGCGGGGCCCTCAGGGCTGTGGAAACCTATCAGGGCATGGAGTCTTGAGGGACCGGGGGAAGGGGCGGAGGCTTTAGCCGCCACGTGAGTCCACCAGGCGCTGCTGCTAAAGATACTGTGGACAGCATGTCGGCAACAGCAGCAGCTCGCAAACGGGGAAAACTGGTCTCCGGGGCCGGGGCGGGTGCAGGGGCCGTCAAGAGGCGGCGGAAGGTGAGCTTGGCGCTTCCGCGGTCGTTGTCAGTTCTGCTGCAGGGACCACTGTCTTCACAGTGCGGGGCACCTGGGCCTGGGTCCTCTCCACAACACCTTTCCCGGGACCTCAGCTGGAGTCAGCTTCGCCCATCTTTCTGCGAATGATGGCTTAAATAACTTTGCCCTTGAACCGAGAGCCACCGTTTCTCCCAGTCCTGGGACTTTCGAGGGATCAGAATGGGCTCTTGATTAGTGCCTAGTGGTTGGGACCCCTGACCTAAGAAAGGATCATTTCATTTTCAGGCCGATTCTGCTGTGGCCAAGACCAGGACCAGGGGTAGCGGCAAGATGAATGAGGAGATCTCCAGCGATTCAGAGAGCGAGAGGTGAGCTGTTCTCTTCCATCAGGAAAACTGAGGGCTGTGATTGTATGGACATACTCAGTTGGGGCAGAGCTGGGCCTAGGACCCAGGACTCTGAGTTTTGACTCTCAACTTTGGGCCCTTTCCTTCAATTTATGACCCAGAGGAGCCTCATTTTCTTAGTTCCTGGGGTCTCCATGTGGGGAGAACTCCTGGCTCCAATGGGAGACCACTGAGACCTCCCTGGCTTATGGCACAGGGCTGGACTGACTGACAAGGAGAAATGGATGCAAGAAATGTGCGCTGGTGCTTCATTTTATTTTCTTACACTTTCCCAATTGCTTGTCTGCGTCTCATTCACCATGTCTGTAGAAACTGGCCTCACTGAAGTATAGAGATGAGCAGGCAAGTAATGAAAGAATGATCTGCAGTGGATGTGTGTCTTATAGCTCTGTGTCCTGGGAACATGAGGTGTGTGTGGGGACACATTTAAACAGAGCCTGGGGAGATGAGGGAGGTGGGGAAACCATTTAGAGATCAAAGAAAAGTCTGGGGTGTGAGGGTGCAGGAATGGAGGGTGGGAGAAGACACAGAGACTGGTGGTGCATCCACACTGTGGAGGGCTTGGAATGCCTCCCTCCTTCTGCAGGTGATGGGGTGGAGCACGGTGCAGCGTTTCAAATGAGAATGAGTTGCTGTTGTTGTTGTTATGTGCTGTCGAGTTGGCCCCGACTCATAGCGACCCCTCCTTGGGTTTCCGAGGCAGTATCACTACGGAAGTAGATTGCCCAGCCTTCCTTCCGAGCAGTGGCTGGCCTGATTTTGGGGGACAGAGGCTCTCATACCAAGCTCCAGGAAACCCTGGTGCCTGCCTTATGTGTTGGCCTCAAAGACTGCTTCTAAAACTGAGTGTGTTGGCCTTAACCTGCTCACACAAAGACTTATACCGTTTCCTTAGTTTAAGGTTTTTGTGTGTGGGGGTGTGACAGATCCTGTGCTAAGCACTTTGAAATATTTATTAAATGCTGTATTGTGAAATGTATTAGATACATAAGAATGAAGAAAATGTATTCTGTAGAGAGTAAGCGTAAAATGATGAACGTGCACTTAGGTTAAGAACTAGAACATTTGTAGAACCTTAGAAACCCTGCTATTTCTGACTTGAGTTGATAATTTTTTAAAAAATTTATTATTTAAAGTATGATTTACATATAATACTGACCTTTTTTAGTGTACAGTTTGGCGAGTTTTGACAAATGCATGCAGTCATGTAAATATCACCACAATGAAGATATCAAACGGTTCCTTAACCTCCCCCAGAGGTTCCTCTGTGCTCCTTTGTTTGGATAAACTGAATAGAAGTCCCACCCTTGGCTGTGTGGTGGAAAATAGGTGAAACTGTTCACTACAGATTCATGAACAAGTACGAGTAAGCCCATGCTTACTTTGTTTACTGGGTACTCTGTCCCTGTCAAGGACTGTAAATTTGAAAAGAGGCTTTGATTCTGTAGGAAGGTGCTGTAGGGTTGGGAGAGAGAGAGGGGTGCCAGCCATACCTTGAAGCAGAATATTTGATGTGGTGAAAGAATATGAAATTGTTCATGCAGGTTAGTGAGCAAGCACAAGTAAACCTGTGCTTTACCTTATTGGGTAATCTGACACTGCTGAGTTTTCATGACCCACCTCTAGCTCTCAGGAGCAGGTTAAAGCAGGACTGGTCTTGGAGTAGAGTGAGTGTCCTCAGCTTGGTGCAGGAAGTGGGGCATGAAAGGGAAGGTAGGAACTTCACCAACACAAGATGAGGTCAAGCCAAAGCCAGTTAAGATTCACCTGGCATTCTATCCTCAGGGTAAAGTATGATGCTGTGAGAGCTGGGATGGAGGCAATGACAGCCCCAGTGTGTCTGCCTATTGGGGCCTTGGATACAAGCTGGACTGGCTGCCCCCTATGTCTTGGCTTGGTTGTTGTCCTGGGATTTGTCTTTTCTGTTCTCTATGTTAGGTCTCCTGTCTCCTATACCCGTGCCTTCCTCATTCTTGTTTACTATCTGGGTTGGGGAGCACATCCTCCATTCTTGAAAATTCTGTGGCTCGCTGTACATCTGACAGTGTGTTCATCATTTGGATATACTTGGGCAGAGCATTCTAGCGTTTTCCTTCATAGTGTGTAGCTCTTCTGTCCTGTTCTCAGTGATGCTGTTGAGATAGGTGTCTGAAACCGTTTTGACCTTTTATATATGACCTTAGTTTTTGTTGGAAGCTTATAGAATCTTCTCTTTTCCCCTGGTGTTGAGTGGTTTCTCAGTGATCTCTTTGGGTGTTGGGTGTTATGGTGGCCACTGGGTGAGCCCTTCTAGTTTGCTAATGTGCACGCTTAGTTTTTAGTACATGTGGTCATTGGCCAGGAGGGGTGGCAGGGATTGGGAGTTGGGGCCCCCGCTGGCTGGGAATGCATCAAGGAGGCATAGTCTAGTAGGCAAGAGGGGTGGGTCAAGCCCCCTCAGACCCAACCACCTCTTGCCCACAGCCTGACTCCGAGGAAGACTGTGGAGGAAGACGAGGAGGAGGAGTTGGAGGAAACTGTGCAGGAGAAGAAGCTGCGCTTGGCTAAGCTCTATCTTGAGCAGCTCAAGCAGCAAGGTGAGCCTGTGGGTGGGGCAGGTGAGGGTCAAGGCCTATGCTGTAGCCCCAGCCACTGATGGATGATGGACAGAGGTACTCAATGGGCTGCTGGGGCTGGTGGTGCTGGCTGTCCTGTAGGGGATGGCTAGGAGCTATAAAGGGTTTCCTGACGTGGGTCAGGTCTGTGGGGGGGGCTGATCTGATAACTAAAGACAGAGAGTGAGAAGGAGACCATCCAACTTTCCCTCCCCTCTGCCTAAAGCAGTGAGAGTTTGGGTCCCAGCACAAGGGTGGTGGGGCAGGGATGGGAAGGGGAATACTGGGGTCTTGCCCCACTTACTTGATCTGATCTGTCCTGGACAGAGGAGGAAAAGGCTGAAGCCCGTGCATTTGAGGAGGACCAGGTGGCAGGGCGCCTGAAGGAGGATGTAGTGAGTGTGGAGGAAGGGAGGTAGGTGGGAGGGGGTGGGGACTGGTTCTGTTCCTGGGGTCTCATACTTCTTTCCTCCATGCAGCTTGAGCAGAGGGGCAGGCTGCAGAAGTCGGTGGCAAAGGAGGTGAGTGGGCAGGACATTTTGGGGTAATGTTGGGGGGAGTTGGAGGGCCCAAGCTAAGTTGGTGGGCAGATGGTCCAGTGGGGCCTCAGAGGGTCTTTGCTTTGGCACATAGTAGGCACTTGGGCACTCAGGGCCAGGTGAGGTCCATCCAGTTCTTGAAGCCTTGGGTCCAGTTTTCCTTCTAGCTGGGGTGGGTGGTGCCTTCTTGCCCAAGCCATGGTGACCTGGCTCCTTCCTGCCCAGATCCAGGCCCCAGCCCTGGCCGACATTCGGGTCTTGAGGGGCCACCAGCTCTCCATCACCTGTTTGGTCATCACCCCTGACGACTCAGCCATCTTCTCTGCCTCTAAGGATTGCACTATCATTAAGTGTGAGTGAGTGCCTGGGTGGGGATTCACCCCCCCCAAGGGTCATTAGGAAGGGCTGGTCTGAGGAGGAGGCAGGGGGGAGTCAGGGCAAACTGAGATCTGGTGAGGAAGTCTCTGGAGGCAGGTGGGCTCCCAGAGAAGAAGGTGCTTTTCTGGGTGGCAGTGGAGGCTCTGCCCAGCACTGGTAATCATGAACTCCCTGCCCCTGGAGAGGGTTGAGCAGAGGCAGGACATTGATTTGTTGGGAATTGATGCTGCGGGTGGCAGGTGGACTGGAGGATATTTGAGGTTCTCTACAGTCCTGGGTAGGAGCTCTGGTAGCATAGTGGCTAAAGCACTTGACTGCTAACCAGAAGGCTGGCGGTTCAAACCCACCAGCCGCTCCTCGGAAGGAAGGTTGGGCAGTCCTACTTCCGTGGTGATACTGCCTCGGAAACCCAAGGAGGGGTCGCTATGAGTCAGGGCCGACTCGACGGCACATAACAACAACAACAACAACAACAGTCCTGGGTTGGGTTTCTGGTCCTCCTGGGTCCCCACTTTCTGACAGCTGATACTTTGTTCACCCACTGTGATAGTAATAGGAAGAACTTGCATGATCGGTCCTAAAGTATTTACATGTCCCTTCTCTTCTTTGGGCTTCATGGCTGCTTGCAACTTGCTAGGGGCTCTAGTGGTTGAGCCAGGTCTTCTGACCTGAGTCCAGGACTTTTCCATGGACCCATACTGCCCCTTGAGGGAGGTTGCTAGCCAGCCCTCCTCCCCATCACTTTAACCTGTCCTGTCCCCTGGTGGCAGGGAGCGTGGAGAGTGGACGGAAGTTGCATGTGATCCCTCGAGCCAAGAAGGGTGTTGAGGGGCAGCCGCCTGGCCACAGCAGCCACGTCCTCTGCATGGCCATCTCATCTGATGGCAAGTACCTTGTAAGGCAGAATCGGCCCTGGGGTGGGTAGGCGTGTAGTGTGGGTGCACAGCAGGTACCTGTGGCCATTGTCTTTATTTCTACAGGCCTCGGGTGACTGTAGCAAGCTCATCCTCATTTGGGAGGCTGAGAGCTGCCAGCATCTGTATACCTTCACAGGGCACCGGGACTACGTGTCGGTGAGGAGCTGGGCTTCCCATGGCAGTTAGCGAGCACCCACTGGGTGGGTCAGGCTCAGATCTGTGCACTGGGGAGTGGGAGGAATGAAGCAGAGAGTTCCTGGCCTTGGGGAACTTACAGTCTAGTTGTGGTGAGTGATGCCATAAAGGAAATAAGTGGAGGGAAGGGGTAGGGAACAGCCAGGGGAGACTGAACTGAGTTTGTACAGGGTTCAGGGAGGGCCTCTCTTGAGAAGTCCATAGCTGGAGAGTTGCTGAGGTAGGTGGGCATGCCTCTGGCTCCAGACAGGGCTGTGTAGAAGTGCCACAGAGATCTTGGGGGAACTGTTTCCAGTGCCACATGACCAGCTTTACAGGAAGTCCCTCCCCAGGTATGACTTCAGTCTCGCCTACTGCAGTTTGGGTCCACTTTTGTCCTAAGTCCTGGCTCTCTCTTTCCCTCTGCTCCCTTAGGGGCTAGCATTCCGCAGAGGCACACACCAGCTCTATAGCACGTCCTACGATCGTTCTGTGAAGGTGTGGAATGTGGCCGAGAACTCCTACGTGGAGACACTGTGAGTGCCCTGGGAGAGGGTGTGCACACGTATGTGCCTGTCCACATGTGGGCCCGATCCTACCTGTGTGTCCTGCCCTCAGCTTTGGGCACCAGGATGCGGTAGCTGCACTGGATGCGTTGAGCCGGGAGTGCTGCGTGACTGCTGGCGGCCGGGATGGGACTGTGCGGGTGTGGAAGATCCCTGAGGAGTCCCAGCTTGTCTTCTATGGCCACCAGTAAGGTGGCCTGCATGCCAGGTGGGGCTGTGGGCTGGGGGTGGGGCTGGGTACACACCTCATAGTCCCTTTCTCCAGGGGCTCCATAGACTGTGTCCAGCTCATCAACGAGGAGCACATGGTGTCGGGTGCAGACGATGGGTAAGAGCTGCCTTTCTGCTGTCTCCTACCACTGTTCATGGGCACTTGCTGCCCTCTAGGCCCTGGACTGGCCTCATAGGGTCTCCCAGCAGCCCTGTATGGGAGCTTGTGTAACCTCTTTTTCATAGATGAGGACCCTAAGGCCCAGAGCTTAGGTGACCTTGTCCGCATTCCACAGTTGGCCTTTCTGCCCATCTCCTACCCCTCACCACTGTGCTCCTTGTCCACAGCTCTGTGGCCTTGTGGGGTCTCTCCAAGAAGCGGCCACTTGCCCTGCAGCGTGAGGCGCACGGGCTGCGGGGGGAGCCGGGCCTGGAACAGCCCTTTTGGGTGTCTTCAGTGGCAGCCCTTCTCAACACAGACCTTGTGGCCACAGGTGGGTGCCTTTTGCAGTAGGGAGGAGGGGTCGCAGGGTGGGCCGGTATAGGTGGTTCTCACTATCTCCTGTCCCCAGGCTCCCACAGCTCCTGTGTGCGGCTCTGGCAGTGTGGAGAAGGCTTCCGGCAGCTGGTCCATCTCTGTGACATTCCCCTGGTGAGTGGGCCTTGAGTGCGCAGCCTGACCTTGGCATACTCCTGATGCCCTGGGGTTCACGGGCCCTGGAATTAGCTCGTTATCATCCTTACTGCCAATTGGGAGCCTCCTCAGGGCAGGGCCAGCTGTGACCTCTCTGTATGCCTAGCTCCTAGCACAGGGCCTGGCAGGAGCCCTCCCTTCTTCCTCTCTTCTTCCCCTTTCCCTGTCCAGGAGGAGGCAGGCCCCAGGCCACACCCTTGGCACAGCAGGCTCACGCTGTCTCCTTCATCCTCATAAATTCACTGTCTCACCTTGTCTCACAAGTATGAAGGCTGAGGCCCCAGAGGGGTTAAGAGCTGGGTGGGGTGACCAGATGGCAGGAGTCAGAGCAGGGATTGACTGTGATGCTGGGGCTGTGGTGGGGGTCTCACTTCTTTTTCTGTGTCCTTCTCCTTAGGTGGGTTTTATCAACAGCCTCAAGTTCTCCAGTACCGGGGACTTCCTGGTGGCTGGGGTGGGACAGGAACACAGGTGGGTGGTGCCTGTTGACCTGGTGGGTGGCACTGGCTGGGCGGCTGGATGGGAATAGGGAAGGTGCCCAGGTGGGGAGGTGGCTGGGCTGGGTAGGGCCTCAACTACTCCTCTCACCTCTGCAGACTCGGCAGATGGTGGCGGATCAAAGAGGCTCGGAACTCTGTCTGTATCATCCCGCTCCGCAGGGCCCCTGTACCTCCAGCTGCTGGCTCCTGACACTTACCCCTATTATTTAATCTTTCCCAGTCTTCTTTATATTAAAAGCTTCCCCTTTTGGGCCCCGTCTCCTGTGCCTTCTTTGGTGGGGGGAAGGGTAGGGGTCATGATTTGGGAAAAGCCTGGAGAGGAACTGGACTCCAATGGCCGTTAGGCTCAGCCCCTCTGCTATCCTGAGGGATTGTATTCTTCAAGGAACCTGGGAATGGAGACCTCAGCTGGCTTCTGCTCCCTGGTCCCTGAGTGTCTTTTACAACCTTATCAGTCTAGCTCCCTACTCACCTGGGTTGATAGAAGTCAGAAGCCGCCACCCTCAGCCCAGAAGTCGTGTAATCAATATCTAATTTTGTGTAAGGATGTCTCTGGGTCTGTGAATTGCCCTGACTTCCCCACTAGGCCAGGTCAAGAAGCTGAAGGGAACAGACTTCCCTTGAGGTGGGAGTTGGGAGTGTGGGCAGGACCCTGCACTGGTGAGTCTACTAACTGGGGATAAGGTTTGGAGTTGGGGAGTGCTCTACCTTTGGTTCAGATGACAGCCAGACTGTATCGCCTTTCATGGCAATACCCCTACCAGGGAAGTGAGAGTACCTCTCCCTGATTTCACTAACTGGGTAATTTTCTTGCTTTGGGCATGACCAATGAGGAAGTGGAGAGGTGGATTGAGGTATAGAAGTGGACTGAGAACCCCTCCTTGCAGAGGAAGGATAGGAAGGTGGTGTTCAGGGGTCTGCCCTAACCTACAGTACTTGCGTCTCTTAACCCTTTGGACCCTACAGCTGACCATATGGTTATCAAGAGGTAGTGTGATTCCCTCAGGGGAGGAAGCTGTCCTCTTCTGCTCAGGCGGCCTCCCCCTCAGACAAGGTCCTGCAATTATCCTGCTGGGGCCTGAGGGGCCAGGTTCAGACTGAGCCCCCAAAATCTTGAAATGGATCAGAAAATGTTAATAGAATTCACTCCTTGTGTCCTGCCTCAAATTGGGCTCAGCTACATTGTGTTCCATAGATCTCTAGAGATTAATCTATGGAGTTTGAGGATGGCATAAAAATGGTCTTGAGTAACACTGTAGGCAACACTGAAATTCCCTGGATACGTGAACCCTTTCATATCAGTTCATTCCCAGGGAGAAATCAAATCTTGAAAATGAACACCCTCTGAATTCAAACTGAAAACAATTTATTTAGGTTTTCTTTTCTGAACCTTGGCCCCCTGGGACTTCCTTGTTGTAGTTGGGTTCTTGAGCAGTGGCTGCATTAGCAGTTATTGTGCCTTCAGCCTCTTCTGGGACCCTTCCCTTCTGCCAAATCTGGCTGTCTCATGAGAACATGGGAACTCTAGTAGCATAGTATCTGAGGCACTTGACTGCTAACCAGAAGGTTGGTGGTTCAAACCCACCAGCCACTCCTCGGAAGGAAGATTGGGCAATCTACTTCGTAGAGATACTGCTTTGAAAACCCAAAGAGGGGTCGCTATGAGTTGGAGACAACTTGATGGCACGTAACAACAACATGAGAACATGCTTCCCGTCAGCTCTGAGTTAGAAGTAGGGTTGATGTTCTCCAAGTCTGCATCAGTTGACTATTGCCATATAGCAAACCATCCCCAAAATTCAGTGACTTAAAGCAATTATTGCTCCTGAGTGAACTGAGCATTTCTTCGGATCTCAGCTGAGCTCACTCATGCTTTTGCAGTCAGCTGTGGATTGAAGTTTCTGCTGATCTTGGCTGGTCTCGCCTATGTTTGTGAGTTGACTGTCAGGCTGCTCTAAGACCTGAGCTAGGAAAACCAGACTTGGCTATGTGTGCTTTCTCGTCCCCCAGCAGCCCAGCCCAGGCTTGTTTGGATGTTGGGACAGGCTTCCAGGGGAGCAAGAGAAAGCATGCAAGACATCTAGAGACCCAGGCTTGGACCTGGCACTTCTATCACATTCTATTGGCCAAAGAGAAAGAGACCACCTCTTGTTGGGAAGAACTGGAAAGTGATGTTGCAAAGGGTGCAGAAATGGGGTCATTTCTGCAGTTAATCTGTATCTCCTGCTCCCAGTCCAGAGGACTACTCTTCCTCCCTCCTGCCAGAGCTGTGGTCTTCCTGCTCCTCAGCAGGCAGAGGACCTTGCAACATCAAACATGGCTCTAGAGGAGGCAGGGATGGAGTGACCGGATCCCAGCCTGCTACCACCTGCTGGCAACTATTAGGAGGTTGGCACATCAGATGAGCGTTTGGTACCCACTCTTCCCACCCCCTGCCTGAGAAATGGGCCTAGGAGCAATGTTCTGAACCCCTGATCCCCCAGGGCATGTGCCCCTGCACTGCTCTCTGGAGGAAGCTCCCAGTGACTCTTAACTCCAAAAGGGAAATGTAAGTTCTGGGAGACAAAGGCAGTGGGGCTGGCAATTTGTCTTCTTTCCAGGCTAGCCCTGGAAGCTGTCCCCTGGGCTTCATTTTTCTGTAGCCCTGGATGCACGCTCTGGTGGCAAGGGGCAAGAGCACTTCACAGAGATGGTGACAGTAGTGCCTCTCCTGGATACCTGTGGTTTCATCTGCCAAGAACTCATTTCTCTTTCTTCTGGAAAGAACTCCCATTTCCGTTGGAAAACTATCCTTTCCTCCTCCAAACATGTCCATTTGTCCATCCATCCACCCACCCATCCATTAGTTCAAAAAAAACTTTACTGAGTTCCTATCTTAGTTACCTAGGAGCTCTTGTGGCATAGTGCCTGAGGCATTTGACTGCTAACCAGAAGTCTATATATATAAACCAAACAACATATAAATAAATAAATAAATAAATAAATAAATAAATAAATAAATAATATATATATATATACACACACATACA